AATTCTCCGGATTAAGAAAGATGGATAAGATCAAACCAAGCTGTTTCAGCACAGGGGAGGAGTGGGCAGGAGGCAAATGTGAAGGCATACAGGGAAAATACAGACATGACCAGTATTTGACTGCAGGGACCTACAATCTGGCAGTTGGAGACATCCAGGTTTTTTTTAACCTTTTGTTCATTGTTTTAGTAATTTTATCTCTCGATGACAGATGAGGCAGATATTGCTAGGAAACCAAATGATTTCTTTGACTCTGTCTTCTGTGGGGAGAATGAGGAAACATGCCAAAAATGGAGAGAAATTTCCCAGGGGCAGAAAATGAAAAATTAATGAAATGCTAGGCAACACCCGAGTGTGTCAAATAAAAGAAAAAAGGGATAAGAACAATTAAAATCAGACAATGCTCTGAAGGGGTCAGGAGGATCGGCAAGGCAGGAGCAATAGTCTGAAGAACAACTTTATGGTGGAAGATCTTTAACTCCCCATGAGGAGCAGATGAGACACTGCGTGAGCTCAGGTTCAGGACAGAGAGCGGGGAACACCAGGCCCCCTTGAGCCTGGCCTTAGCACTGGGAAAAGTTACTGGCAGTAACTTGAATAGAGAGTGACATACATTTGCAGGAGGGATGTCAAGGTGGACAGACTTTCTTTTCTGTAGGGAGATGAAGAGACATCCAGGATGAATAAGCCAATCTCGTTGACTTGGTTTTCAGCAGGCAAGTACAATCTCTATAATCAATGACAGCAAGTGGAGAAGACAGTGTATTGTGGTTTGGTGGTAACTTATCAGGTTGGGGAAAAAGCAACATACGTAGGTTAATTTTCCTTATTGCCTATAAAGAGGTATACATATTATTGTATATAGAGGTGTTCTGTGCCCGTGACATCTGGTTATTGAAAGGTTTTGTTAGCACCAAGCCCACATTTGCTGCTTCCATCTTGCAGCCGCTCTGCTGCCTAGGAGCTGTTTAGCAGAGTAGTTAACAGCTCCGAATCCCAGCCTCTAACCTAACCACCGCTTGGGGCTGCCAGACTGACTCTGCATGCTGGTCCTGCAGCGGCCGCGGGTTTGGGACTGGAGTCCTAGTTTGGAAGCAACTCTCTCTCTCAGCAAGGGACAGCAGGAGAAGGCCATGGATCTAGGTCTAAACTCAAGAAGGCATATGGCTATGCCCCTTTGGGACAGGACTGTTTTCCTAGATTAGTGAGTGACGCTTTCAGCTTGCTAGTAATAACACAGGGGAAGACTAGATGCAGAAACATGAAGAAACAGGAAAATAGGTCAATCACTCCTGAGAACAGAAGAGAGTGGGGACAATGCTGGAAAACAAATAGCTGAAAGGATGAAACCCAGCTACCTTGACAATGGTGCAGGATGTTGACTAAGAAAGCATCACTGGTGACACAAAAAAAAACCCCAAAACAGGCCAATGATGGAGAACAGATTGCATCTCCTTTACAAAAAGTAGAAAAAGGCTTTCTGTGGATCATAACCCAGAGACCAATATGTTTTGCAAGGCACAGTGGTAGCCCCCAGTCTCTTTAATTCTCTTTTAAAAGAATTAATTTTCTGATGAGGGTACTTGTCAGCAGGTCACATGGTGAGCATGGCATGTCTGCTGGTATCAGCTAGGTTGTGATCCCCCACCAAAGCAGACAGCCTTTCTGTTTTACAGAAGCAGGGTGAGGGGAACTGTCAGATGGAGAGAGAGGTGCCAAGACTTCCTTGATGGAAGGTGATAGACGGGTCTCACACTTCTATACCAACTGTTTCAAAGCCTGATTTTTCAATCACTTTAAATAATTTCTTCTGGATCCAAAATAAATGTGGACAGATGACATGATACCCAGACAAAACCTGACTCTCCCAGTGGGAGGAGGAATATTCCTGAGGTTAGTAGGAACTCAACTTTTAAAGCCAAAGAAAGTAACATTTTTCCTATATGCAGCCATTACATTTCCTTTCTGTGCATCTCCTCCTTCCTGTAAAAGAAAAACACTCACGACTAAGTGAGATCCAATATATATATTTATGTATATATATAAAGTGTGATGCTGGAAGAAGCCTGCTGCCAGAAACCCTGGATGCTTTGGGACCAAAGCCGTGCTGAAATCAACTGGAGCCCTTCATTCACAGCTCCGTGGGCATCTTCTAAAACCCTGCATGAAGCTGTATCCCAGAGCCTCTCCTGCAGGTGTAAGGCCACTCATGGATTTTACATCAAGAATGGCAAAACATGAGAAACAGTCCCGTTCCTACCAAATTGACTGGCAGGCTTTTCTCCCAGCCGAGTGTTTCACCAGTTCAACAAGAATAAACATGCCGTAACTGGCTGCCCACCTACAGCGTGGGGGTAAATTGTTGCTTACCCAAACCAAGCCAGATAAAAAGCCAAGGGCCAGCTGGCATCTGTCAAAGGAAGCCGATGGTAGGCAGCAAAGGCACAAGGTGGAAAGCCATGCGCCTCATTTTGGCTTCAGGTATGTCTGCGCAGACTTGCGAGGCCCTGGGTTTGGAAGGGGATTTGTGCAGGCGTAGCCAGTGCTTTTACTGCATTTATCTCAACATCAGGTTTTAAAGTGCTGGTACAAGGGTACAATGGTGAGCAATGAAATCACAGCCCAGATTTCTTTTGGATCTACAGCTGTTTATCTGAATTTTTGGCAGCCACCTCCATGAACTAAGGTTTTCATTGGGCTCGTTGTTTGGTGCTGGCCGGATCCTCAGCAGCTGGAGTCAGCAGCTGTAATTTCACATCGCTTCAGTGAAACCCGGGGAGCTGTTGTGATTTGTCCCAGCTGAGGATCTGTCCCACAGTATGAGAGAGATCACATCGTAAAGGAAACCATTTCACTGGGGACCAAGGCTGCGGAGCCATCCATTTTGCCATCTGGCTTTGCAGCACAAGGGGTTGACACTTGAAAGGGAGGAGAGGAAGGAAAGACTCCACCAAGCTGCTACCTGGCTGTGCAACCCTGCATGGCATTTGGGTAGGGAGATAAACCCCTCCGTGGGATCCTTTCGTAATTTGAAGCACCAGTCTTTGTACAGGATAATTCTATGCATTTTTCTACATTGCACCATCCAATGCATATAAATCATCTGCATCACCGCGACTCTCTAATTCATTCACTGGCACAAGTAAGTCCTAAATAAAACTCAGCACTTTGCAGATCTGAATCCCCTACACAGAAAAAGGAGGAAAAGCAGCCTTTTTACTTTTCTCCAAAATCCAGCATAAAGTATGACCAGAGGAGGCTGTGAGCTACTTGGGAAGTAACATTACAGGCAGAGATGAACCTCAAGGTTCTTTGTGCAAGACTAAACTGGACAGACATCATGACACCTCCCACATACATTTTCATGGACCAGACCCTACACTTTAGTGGTGTTCCCCTGGTCTCATTCTGTTGCTTTATCAATGAGTACCCTTCAGAAGCCTGG